CACACCCACACCCACACCCACACACCCACACCCACACCCCACACCCACACCCACACCCACACCCACACCCACCCCACACCCTCTCACACCCACACCCTCTCACACCCACACCCTTGTAGTCTTATATTCCTTGCAGTTCTCATAGCCTTATCTCCTTACTGCCTTATCCCTTATTACCTATCCCCTTACTGTCCTAATTCCTTCAGAGCCTATGGATACCACATATAATAGCCGATGAGGACCTATGGGTACCTCCATAAATAGCCCTTGAGGACCTATGGGTACCTTCATAGGATAGCCCTTGAGGACCTATGAGTACCTCCATATAATAGCCCATGGGAACCTATTGGTACCCCCATATAATCATATAATAGCTCTTAAGGACCTATGTGTACCTTCATATAATAACCCTTGTGGACCTATGGGTATCTTCATACGATAGCCCTTGAGAACCTATGGCTATCCCAATATAGTAGCCCTTGCCGCCTTCTCTTATACCCAGGGGTGGCGCGAGTCACCCAACATTGGGGGAGTGTAGTGGAATTTTTTGGATTAGAAAGACGAATTTTGCGATTTTTGGGGGGGGGGGGTGTAACATTATCTTTGGTAACAAATGAAAGAAAATTTACTGATCTTGTTGAGTAAAAAAAACAGAAATTTTTGATGATTGGGGGGGGTGTCACACTCCCGACACCCCCCGGTCGCGCCACCCTTGCTTATACCCTTATCTGACCTTTAACCTTTGACCTTTGGCCCGGCACAGACAGACACACACACACACACTGAACATTATATATATATGTGACCGGTGCTTACGGTGCCCGTGTACCGGTGGAACGGTGAACGGTGCACCGCTACTACGGTGACCGGTGGCACCGGTTGGTACGGTGAATCGGTGGACCGGTGGCACCGGTGGTACGGTGAACCAGCGGACCGGTGAGACCGGTGAACGGTGAACCATAGACCGGTCACATCGGTGACCACCGTTGCATCCCTAGTTGTTATTGCGTGTGCGTACGCGACCACTAGGATGACTAATATATATGCACACAGCAAATGACGAACAAGATAATCCTTATCTACTCGCAAACCCTTTCTCTTCTCTCGTTTTTGTATTGTCTACTCGTTCATTTTAGAACCTTTAATACACTTGAATAATAGACATTTTTATGACCTGTATCTTATTCAGATGCGATCATAAGAAGGGTGTGGGTGTGGGTTCATGGAAGAGATACACCCACATCCACACCCCTGATTATAGTAAGTTTATTTTAAATGATTAACTAGCTAATAATCAATTAAGACCTATTATAAAATACTGCTTTATAAAAAATGAATAATGTTAATCATTGTATTGGATTCGATGATTTTATTCATAAAAGTCTACTTTGTAATGAATCCATATATTCATTAGACATGGTGCTTCAAAGTTTTTCGGTACATTACCATGATTCAGGAATTTAGAAATGAATTTTGATTTTATTAATCTTATATCTTCTTGTTGTTTTTTTCTTATTCATATCTAACATGAAGCGAAATTTTTCAAAAATCTTATTATTTTCTTTATTCCTCATATTTGTTGACTTTTGTGTGAGTTACAAAATTAGGTTCAATTTATCCTATATATAATTTTTAGTTGAATTATTTATCTCAAAAAGACACATATAGTAGTATTTTATCTCATGGAAAAAGTGTAAAACTGAAACCTCTAATCTCGATATAAAACAAACGTATTCAATAATCAAAATCATTAATTCTCATATATAGAGTCTAAATACTAACACAACATTTAAATAAAATACACTAAAATTATATTATGTAATATATGCGTCCACAGTTAACAGTTATCGGAAAAGCAAATACGTAAATGTTCGACCATCATTGACTTTTCTGTTTCATCTAAAGTTTATTGTGGTTCTAAAAAGTTAGAATATGTATTCATCATGATAATTGTTCTTGGTTTGTAGTGTTAATATTTGATGACTTGGTAAATAAAATACAATGTTGTTGTGCGCTTGTAGATGTTACTGTAGTTGACTTTTGAAGAGCAATAAGTACTTTCAGTTGAGGAGTGACATAAACGAGCATAAAACTAAGAATGATCAAACCAGTCATTGTTGTGATATTCTGAATGCGATAAAATAATGGTTTGCCTACATCAGTAAAAGGTAACATTAGCTTCAGTACAACATAAGGAACAACCATCAGTATTAATATACATACAACAAGTATAATTCGACGCACTACAATCACATCACGTTTAGCTCGTGCTGAAACGACTTTAGAGGATCGACGAATAAAACATGTCAGCTGTATATAAATAATATTGATGATAATAATTGGTATACCATAAATAATTAGATTAGAAAAAACGAGCCCACGAGTACTATGAATAGGTAGTAAGCAGACATTTTCCATAGATATAAATCGTATATCATGCCACACATGAATCGGTAGAATAAAAAGAAACGAGATGAGCCACAAAATAGGAATAATCAAGGCATAAGTAAGACCATGTTGTAGCCAAACATGAGAAGGATAGACAACACGAAAGAAGCGAAAAGCAGCCTAGAAATTAACATATGTATTTTAAATTTATTTTGCTGGAATATAAAAAGACTTTCTTTTCTGGAGGTTGTAAAGCAAAGTATAACTATTAGCAGTGCGCAGAAACTGTCCACTCCGCAACAAATTATCTTTGCTTTCATATTAATTAGTGAGGTTTACAGAAGAAAATGTTTGGCATGAAATTGGTTTCCCAATAAGAAGGTGTTTATGTAGGTTTTTCATTGAAAAACATATTATACTGCATCTTATGCAAATAATTCCTTAACTGTGACTACAAATGTGGCGAAGAAAAAAAAATAGGAAGTAAAAAAAGAAATTTTCTGAGAGCTCGAAAAATACATATACAACGTTTCACAAGTAGAGATGCCAAATTTTTTTTTCATTCTATGATTTCTTTTTCGGAAAGAACCTATTATTGCTGAGAAAAATGAGAATTTTCTCGAAGTAGAAGGAAAAAGCTTGTTAGCGCAGCCCCTTTGGGGCTGAAATGTGGAACTCACATATGCTCTCTAGCCTCATTAAACGAATACAAAAAATACGTAAAGTGAAAAATCTCTCGTAGACTACAGTTGCCTTTCACGATAATCGAACATCAATGTAAGATCTTTACTAATTTCTGTATTTCGAAGAGAATTTTTTATTTTTTTCTACGGGCACCCTATTTTCTGTTTGTATTGTTGCTATTAGCTCGTTATTTTTCATTTTTTTTATTCGTTTTTCTTAATTTAACATTCTTATTATCATAATCATTGAACTAATTGACAAATAAGTCTATTTTATATATTCATGATATCTGCGGCACATTTTAGGCACTATTATATATATTAATCAACTCACAAATAATGATATTCATTATTTTTCAAAATTATAACTCGATGAATTTTGCAAAAAACCTCTAGAAAATCTGACGCCTGTTATTCTCGATTGCTAAGGTCTGTAATGGGGGTGGGGGGAGCCGGAAAACCTCGAACTTAAAACTTACACTCACTATTTTCTTCGAAAACATACATGAGTTCCACAAAAGTGCACACATTTCTACATCTCGACTTGTTTCAGGTTATTTGCAGTACTGATTGTGTCTGGGAAAAATTTAGAATGCTGTCTGCGAAAAAAGATTCAGTCCGTTCTATTTCGGAAAACTGTCGATAGCTATGATTGTATATCTCTATCATTGTGTTCATTTATGATGATAAGCAGTGGTGAAAAATCTATCGATTAATCAACATTCAGCACAATACAAAATTAAATAATAGATCTTCTATTTTATAATATTCATTAATATTTCTTTAAGAAAAGACTAATAAGAATGGTGGTGTGCTGTAGAAAGGTCAAACGGGAAAATGTCGAAACTAGAAAGTATTTTTAAAAAGTGATACGTCTAATAAATACTTACTTTAAGCATCTATAGTTTATTTATTATCGCTTTATTGATTCATATCTGTAACTGATAGTGACAGTGATGAACAATATCTGATAGAGATTGACTAAACTAGTCAAAAAAATAACTACTAAACAACTAAAAGTCTACTATCATGAGTGCAGTTGCTTCATCTTCAATGTATGAGGGTAAATCATTATTGTCCAATATTTTACTCGTTAATTTGTAAAAAGATCTTTGGTGTTATCTAATAATAATATTTTCGAATTGAATAAGAGAACAACAACTCTTAAATATTAGAAATGTACATATTATGAATGTTCATACAAGTTTGAATAATCAATTTATTGAAATGATTAATGATCTCGGTTATTATGCAGATGAAGCAAAACTTGAAGTATAGGAATGTTTTAAGAAAAGTTTTCTCTTAACTTGTATAGAATCTCTGTTAGAATGTTAGTATCATTCCCTACAATAAACAATGTATCTTAGTAGTCAGAATTTTGTAAAGCACTTTTCCATTTTTCTAGGACCAATCATAATACTATTTTACAGTTCTATCATACACAACAGTAAAAAATGAGGCTCTAATACTAAGACATAAATTTGATAGAAAGCTATAACATATAAAGGCAGGAGACGTATCAAAGATATACGCAAAAGTGTATTAAAAAAAAATTATTTTTTCACAAAAGAGTTTATCTGCAGTAAAATCAAAACACATCGAGAACATATAATATGATTTGAAATTGAACCTTCTGACCGGAAATATAACTGGTGCAAATCTTTGCAAAAATGTCACATTCTGTTAGACCATATTGCCCAACTTCTAAACTAATGAATTTTCTTTTTGTTAGAAAGAATAACATCTGAACTACAAGTTTTGTATGAAAAATATTTTTCTAGAATGAATCTAAGAATGAGGGAAAAGCTAAAAACAAAAAACTTCTAAAAAAAGTTCTTGCAATACTTTTGCCACTAGTAAAGCTTCTATTTCCCAATTATATTGAGCTACATAGACCAAATTCTAATAAAAATAATTACCCAAGTGTAGTACATCAAAAGCTCAATTATTGTCAGTTTTAGTCAATTCCTTTAGAGATCCATTCCTAATTTTTTATTCAACAAAAAAAAAAAAACTTGAAAATTGACTTTTTATATAAAATAGAGTTTTGCAAGAACGATCAGTTAGTAAGAACGACCAAGCTATACAGTCTCTTTCAGAAATATAGTGGCGGACAAAAGTTTAGTGCACCTTTTATTTTATGAATTATTTTATTCAAAATGAGTTGTTGAAGAGATCCAAATAGTGATTTGAATAGCCAATGAAGAGCTCTATTTAACACATTTCATCAATAGATTATGATGAAAAGGTTTCTAAAAAACTGGAAACCGCATTTTTCAGGTCCCCGAAGACTTTGTGGAAATTGTTTTTTGATTATGCCATCTTAAAGAGCGTAAATATTCTGAACAAAATGAGGGATTGCTACGTGTTTTATGGCGTTTCTTTGAGAAGTTACGGGTATCACAAAACACGAAAAAACGCATTTTTTAGCCGATTTTCAGCGATCTTTTGATAAAATTCACTTTTTTTCGCGTTTTGTGATATCTGTAACTTCTCAAGGAAAGGTCATAAAAAACGCAGCGACCCCTCATTTTGTTCAGAATTTTACGCTCTTTAAGATGGCATTATCAAAAAAACAATTTCCACAAAATTTTCGAGGGCCTGAAAAATACGATTTTCAGTTTTTTAGAAATCTTGCCGTCATAAAGAGCATTCTTTATCCTACAAAAAAAACCTATTATACATGGTTTTTCATTTCGTTTCTGATATAAAAAGTTGAATGGAAATAGAAAATTGATGTTCTATGATGATGAAGTTGCAAGAATTTTTTAAGAAGTATTTTGTTTTTAGTGAAAAAAAAATTTCAGAAGTTTAGAAGTTGGCAATATGATCTAATAGGGTAAGACATTCTTCCAATGATATTCACACCCCGTTATTAAATGAAAAATTCTCTGCTTGATAGGCTTCCAAAGACAATCAAACTTTATTAAAAATCTTACCTGTAACAGAAAACTATGAAAAATGACAGCCAGTGATGAATAAATCATATATCCTCTAATACGACAACTAAATGTTTCCATACCAATATACAAATTATAATCACCTCGAAACATGTCAAAATTGCCTGGTATAGCTATAAGTGCAAAGACTAATAATGCTAAATAATTATTAGCAACCAAAATTAAAACTAAATCATGCTTGCGTATAATTGATGATAAGAGTACACCAAGCATAAATATGCATATGAGACCGACAAATATAGCTCCAATGAGTGAAATAAAATTGAGAGTTACAGCTACTGTTGATATCATTGTTGTATTCGACATATTTTTCTGCGACTAATATAAGTGCTAGATCTTTTACTGTAAATTTTATCTGTTGACGAAAAAAAAAATATACATACCATTACTCGAATATTATCAAAATAGATTTGCGTTTGAAAAAAGAAATGATAACTTCATTTTTATATAAGATATTTAACATAATAAAATATTATTAATAAGAGAAGAAAAAGATATGTTTGAGGGGAGAAAAGGTATATTACTTTTTGATACTAGATGTTCAGATAACAGATGAAGTCTATTAATAAAATGGACCTTAATTGAATTATAGAATAGTTTTATGATGATCATCACTAACAGTCATGTACTTTCATTAGATACGTAAACTTTGTTGATATTTTGTAATATATTATTTAATATTAATGTCCGCGCCAGAATTGAAGAGGAGTAAGGGTAGCCTCAATAAATTTAAACCAATCCTATCTAGCGACCTGTAGTTTTTATCAGCCGAAAGAAAAGATCAGAGGATATTTTTAAAGTGCGAAGCATTTTATACCACACAGTCGAGATTTTTTTTTGCTTCTTGAATGCCGAGTCAGCGTTTGTATAGTCAGGTTAGTGTACTCGGATACAGATGCAATATAATAACTCTGACGAGTACTCATACAAGTTTTTCACTACTAATTCACTCATAAACAATAATAGGAATACTGAATCTACTACTACTCATGTTCATTTTTTCTCGCAGACAATTAAGGAAAACATTTATGAACTTACGTATAGAAAAACAGATTGAAGTTGTGTAATAAAATAAAATTACATAATATAACGGACTACAAAAACAAATTTTTTTTTGATGACTTATCTAGTTTATCAACTATTCTTTCCTGATGACTCATTTATCAAACGACCGTAATTCAAAATTCAAGTCGGTTTTTCGGCATTCTTTATACATAGTTTGTTAAAGCATGAGATTTCCGATCGCGAAAAATTAATTTCTAATATATTTACGAACATTCTTTTCTAGCGGAAAAATTCAGAAAATTAAGTGGTGTCTTTTTTCGTAAAAAACATACTTTTCAAATTACAATTTCTTTGCTTCACTCTGCTTGATAGTTTCTGAAAATATTTTTTTTACACCTCCTCTCGTTCTAGACAGCTGATGAAGTCAAGTATTTTAGTTCTTTCAATTCGTCGTAGTATATATCACAAAAGTATATATTGATTTTTTTTCTTTTCTTTTCGTTGTCGAGAGAAATCATTTTTATTGAATTTGAGCCTAATAACTACTTAGGTTAATCCAAAAGTTCTGTCGGAAATACCTTATTTTCGAATAGTAAACTCAAAGAAGTTTTCTTTTTTTATAAGATGATAGAGAAAAAGAAGCTCTATTTTTCTATGCTATTTGATCATACTTCAACTAATCTAATAATAATAATAATAAAATTTCAATAAGAACTGTTTTTGTGTAAAACTTGAGCTGTTTAAAATAATAATAAGCATGGACATTTTTGCAATAGCTCAAGAATGGAAACAGCTAGAGAGCTGCGATTTTCATCATTCGAAAGAGGAGATGAAGATGCATCAAATTGTATAGTACATTTATTCCTAGCATGTTATTTGAAGTTTGTTTAGTCAATTTTCTAAGTGTGAAAAGATGGTTTCTTATCAAAAAGGAACCGGCAAAAAAAAAACTTGATTTTTATAGAAATTGCCAGAAAAATCACTTATAGCTTTGACTAGTCTACCTATAACTCCCGAATGATCAATTCTAAATACGTTAATCTTGCGCAGGTTTTTAGACCTTCCTTTAGCGGTTTCAATACACACCTAATAATTAAGAACTCATTGTAAACACCTCATGGGATTGGTTTGCTTTCAAAGAAGTCTATTGAAAACCTTAAATAAGTCCTGTCAAAAAAATCTGTAATATACGATTCGATGCATCTTCATCTCCTCTTTCAAACAATGAAAATCACAGCTCTCTAGCTGTTTCCATTCTTGAGCTATTGCAAAAATGTCCACGCTCATTATTATTTTAAACAGACTCAAGTTTTACACAAAAAACAGTTCTTATCGAAATTTTATTATTATTATTATTAGATTAGTTGAAGTATGATTAAATAGCATAGAAAAATAGAGCTTCGTTTTCTCTATCATCTCATAAAAAAAGAAAACTTCTTTGAATTTACTATTCGGAAATAAGGTATCTTCGGCAGAACTTTTGGATTAACCTAAGTAGTTATTTGGCTCAAATTCAATAAAAATGATTTCTCTCGACAATGAAAAGAAAAGAAAAAAAAATCAATACATACTTTTGTGATGCATGCTACGATGAATTGAAAGAACTAAAATTTATGGCTTCATTACTTACACAGAAAAACTTGTTAATTTACAAAAAATGACTCATCAATGGTCTAGAACAAAAGGAGAAGATGTCTTACTAGTAATGTACCTTTTGAACTAAAACTTATTGAATATCGTTTTTATACTCAGCTTTGTATGCTAAATTAGAAAAAAAATTTTCAGAAGCTATCAAACAGAATGAAGCAAAAAAAAATACGTAATTTGAAAAATAAATATTTTTTACGAAAAAAAGATATCCACCTAATTTTTAAAGCTTTTTCCGCCAGAAAAGAATGTTCGTAAGTGTCAGAAATTAGTTATAACTCATGCTTTAACAAACTACGTATATATAAAAAAGGCAAAAAAAATTCAACTTGAATTTTGAATTATGGCACCTGACGATTTTCTCGAATGTTGACTTTAAGAAGAAAAAAAAAAAGGAAAATGATTTTTCATTTTAAACTGTTAACAATTTGTCGAGTGCGATTCAGTAATTATTTAAATATGTTAATAGAGATTCGTTCAATTTTAATTTTCTAAGTTTAGATAGAAAGATAGATTTCAACGTCTATATGATTTGTTTTATATAGTAATCGAAAGGTTATGCTTATTTGTAATCAGATTTCTCTGTTTCATACAACATTCTATTTTTCATTTTTCTTTTCTAATAATACATCGAAGCAATATGACTTTTTATCAGATGTACTTCCTACGTAGAATTTAGTAAGTACCAACCTTTTGAGTCCTGTAAATTGATAGGAATGATATGTCTCAAGTATTTTTTTAACATAATATAGTTCAAGATATTTCATTTTAAACTTTGTTCTCATAATTAAATCCTACTTTCGAGTATCTGAAATAAAGTGAAGTATTATGAAACGAGTTTTATTAGCAAGAATTGCTATTGAAAACATCAATTAACGCATCAAAAATTATGTTATTGTGGGCCGTATCTATAAAGGACCTATGGATAATTGTAAGAAGATAACGAAAATAGCATGTGTTGTTTGGACTTTGTCTAATCTTAACTTGATGAAATTTAACATCAAATGATACTTACTAATAAAACTTATTTCATAATACTTTGTTTTATTTCAGATGTTCGAAGGCAGGATTTAGTTATAAGAACAAAGTCTAAACGCAATATCTTCAACTATATTATGTTAAGAAAATACTTGAGACACATTACTCCTATCAATATACAAGACTCTAGATGTTGGTATTGACTAATTCTACATGGAATGTACATCTGATAAAAAAAGGTCATATTACTCCGATGTATTATTGAAATTTTAGAAAAAAAACAAAATTGGGACTGTTAATGGGAGACCAAGTTGGTCTAACAGATCAATACTGAAATCTTCATCTTTAATTTCCAAATAACAACTACATATAAATGAACGAACTATGAGAAAACCTTAGAACACTTGAAAGAATACTTGATGAAGATGGAAAACATCTTTACTATATCAAGAGAAGAGAAGAAAATAAAATAAAAAAAAGCTATATGTTTATCGTAAGTGTCATCTATGTACAATAGCAGAGCAAAAGAAAGAAAAGAAAAATACTACATATAATTGATACTATAACAGGGACATTCTTAACTGACAACTCTTCTATGTTTTACATTACAGTTACTTGATAAAATAGAGATAAAGAAGTCTTCATTGTTAGTAGAAAAGTTAGATATTTGCTTATGCCTATATCATAGACATAAACCAGATTGATAATTATGGATTCCATATAGGACCGTAAACGATCGTATATGTCATATACACTCCATATATCCCCGTAAACGACTGTATTTTGACCAAAAAACGAGAAAAATATGATTGTTTTTGTCGCCCTTTGTCTCCTACTTGTATAAACAATAATATAAAGTAGTTTTATCTATAATAAATAATCAGGTTAAATAATAAGAAAAATAATTACTGTTGATCCAATCCATTAAATTAAATCAATTAAAATAACATAAATTAAATACAAAAAAAGGTCAATTGTTAATTGAGTCTATTGCATTAGATGATCTAAAACTAAAAAAATGGAAATAAATAGGATTAAAAAGGCATACATACTTTTCATTGAAACAATAGATTGAACGATTTAAAATAAAAAAAAATGTGAATGTATTTAAAATACTTGTTGCTCATTGAACTGATAGATCAAACTGACCAATAATAAATTAAATAAATTAAATAAAATTAAAAACACTTATTGTACATAGCTATCTTATATTCCTACTTTTCATCTGTATTCTCCATTCTAACTCTCTTGATCTATAATTTCTATCACACTTAGCTGCTACCCTACTATATATGCTATACCTATTCTTTATAGCTGTAGCTCATAATCTTCACATTTACAATATGTGTCGTATTTCATGTCAATATTTTATTATAAATTTCTTCTACAGGGTTGGAAAAAATATTTTGATAGGGGGGTCCCGCTATATTTTTAAATAGAGTTAATAATGAATTTTATACTAAATGAAAGCCCGTCAAAAATGGGGTTTATTGGTACTAAATAGTGAGGGTTATGAAAACCTTTTAATGTCGAACTTAAGAAATTTTGTGCTTTCTTTGGGGTAGAATATTAAGGTGTCAGTGATTTAAAAATGGAGTAAAATATTATTCTTAGATATTTTTACATGGTTCGATAGAGCTCATCGAGCTCTACAAAACTGTATACAGTAAAAAATT